AACCTGGGAACAGTTGGAGTCCTGGGAATTCTGGAGGTGTGATAGGTTTAAATATGTTTAGGGATAAAAAAAAAGTGACGCAAGCTGGATTTGGGCAAAAGTCTGAAGTTTAAAGTTCATGAGCAAATGTTGTCACAGGCTTGTCAGTGGAAAGTGTAGAGTTCAAGCTCCGAAATCAAGACGGTGAGGTTCATCCAACAGGGTCTATGTTCCAGGCACCTTGAAAGGAGATGCTGCTGAGGAACACTGAGGTCCAGGTTCCAAAGCCAGCCACCATGTTCCTGGACACAAGCATGGAGCTTCTTACCTTTGAAATATTCATCTTCACAGGCATTTTGGAGACCAGTCCAGGGAACAGCTTACTTCACATGCATAACATTGCCTGGCAGTGTTTGGATGATTTAGCACAAAGAACGGAAATCAGGGAGAAGAGGCTGATCATAGAACTGATATCTAATTACAGAAAGGAAAGTTCTCCACCTTAACCTTTGGGGTTACAGCTGCACATTTGTTATGAATCGTTCATAGAGTCTCCCAGTGTTCTTCATGATTTACAATGCCTTGCAGTAGTCTCTGGTCACAGACCACCCCGACATCCATTTCATCCATCTGCACACAGCAGACACTGTAGCCAGTATATACAACTAAAAAAGTTCCAGGTTAGTTTAGAAGTATCCCAGAGGCAGCTTGCTTAAAGTCTTGTTGTGCTGTGAAATCTGTCTTTCAAAACTCTAAATACCATCCCTCGTTTCAAATGGTGCCCAAGGGGTTCATGAATCTACAGTCTTTATCACCTTGGAGATTGAAACTCTCATAATGTCTGGATTCAGCATCTGCACTCATATAAAAAAATGCTTCACTGCAGCTGGTGGAAGGTATAAATCAATACGGGGGCTGCTCTTCTGAGGTATTAGTCCGGATATCCCTTGACCTAACTGCCCAGTTGAGGCCATCAAAAGTAATGTGTAATAATGAACAATGTCATTCCACACTCCAGGATACCAAGGCAAATCCTAGAGCTCTCTCACATGAAAAATCTGGGAGACTAGACATATATCAATTAAGTTGAACTTTTTACAAGGACTTTTGCAAAAAAGTTGAACTTTTACAAGGAAGGTCATCCAACCACCATATTAAGTGGAAATACAATAATTTCTACAAATTCAAATTTAACCACAGTGTAGCAGTTTTTGAAATAGCACAGTAGACATTATTTTACATCTGGAGATGATAAGCTGAGCAGATGACGTTTCTTATGGACATGTTGCCCCTCTGAGCCCCCAGCTGAGAAGATGAGGAGGTTTTGATTTGCCAGACCCAAGCATTTGCAGGATCATTTCAAGTTGTGTGAGATGGTGACACTACATATGCTGGAGAGTTTAATGTCAACCTGACACAAGCTAAAGTCATCTGAAAGGAGGAAACTTCAATTAAGAAAATGCCTCCATAAAACCCAGGCTGTAGGCAAGTCTGTGAGGCAGTTTTCTTAGTGATTGATGACATAGGGACAGCCAGTTGTGGGTGGGACCATCTCTGGGCAGGTGTTCCTGTGTTCTATAAGAAGGCAGGCTGAGCAAGCTAGGGGGAGCAAGTCAGTAAGCAGCATCCCCTCAGTGACCTCCAGATCAGCTCCTGTCTCCAGGTTTCTGCCCTGTTTGAGTTCCTGTCCTGACTTCCTTTGATGATGAACAGTGATGTTTCAATAAATAAACCCTTTCCTCCCCAAGTTGCTCTAGGTCATGATATTTCATCACAGCAAGAGTAACCCTAACTAGGACACTGGGTAACTATTATCCCATCTACATATAACAAAGTTAGTAAAGTCTTAGCCCAATCATCTTTGAAGGTTATTTTTTTAACAGTATATGACACAGTGATTTAGAAAGAATACCAGAAGTTCACATAAGCATGTTTGATAAAAACATTATTAATCAGGAGTTCATTGCCTAGTATGCAAGAGACTCTGAGTTCAATCACCAGCAAAACACACACACACACACACACACACACACACACACACAATTGAAAAAAATTAAAACAGTAAGACAACCTTCGGCAGAAGCTAAAGTGGACGATTATTTCCTTTTCTCATTTCATATGAAGATGCAAGAATTTATAAAGAATTATGACATGTCACTCAATAATTTGAATGAGCTCTGAAAACTCTTAATGGAGAAGGTCTATCAGACATTCATTCATTCATTCATTCATTCAACTGAGACATACTTATTTGGTTTCTACCCCACTGTAGCCATTGAGGAAATGATAGTAAACACAGTGGACAAAGGTCCAGTTGCCTGTCATTGTAAACTACAGTCTAATGAGAGGAAAAATGCTAAGGAATAACTACACAAACACATGCTATTACAGCAGTTGCACATAAAGGAGTCCATGGGAACAGTGAAGAGAGGAAGTAAGTACAAGCTGACTCATGTTCCAATTCAGGCATCTCCAAAGGGCAGTGTCCATGGTAAGAACTAGAGTAATGGAACTGGAACTAATCCCTTCTCCTCCACAGAATCCAATATTAGTCCATCGAATGGCATGTTCAAGCCTGTGACTTACATCCATTCTATTTCATGGTTTCAATTGGGACATGTAAGCTGAAATGAGCCCTTTTCTCCCCAGGTTGCTTTTGGTCATGGTGTTTTATCACAGCAATAGAGACCCTAATGAAAACAGCATTCTATGGTAGGAATGTACTATAGCTTGTCTAATCATCTATTTCAGAATATGTTGGTTGCTTTCTGTTCTAGGCTGGTACTTACATTTTCTACAGACTTTAAAATATATTAATTACAGTTATTCTATAGTGCATACTTTTCAGGTCAACACTTGGAATTCTTAAAGTCATACTGCTTTGGGTTGTGATGTCATTTTCTTGTTTCTGTCCAGGTATGTTAATATCTTACTATGTACTAGATATTTGGAATGAATGTATTATAGAGACTTTGGATTGTTTTATCAACCCTGAAGAATTTTGGGTTTTGTTTTCTTAGGCACTTTAATCAGTACCATATTACCTAGAATAGGTGGGAACATGGTTTGATGTATTGTTAGAGTGGGTCTATGTGGTAGTTTGAAAGAAAATGGCCTCCAAAGGGAGTGCCATTATTAAGAGGTGTGGCCTTGTTGGAGTAGGCGTGGTCTTGTTGGAAGAAGTGTGTCACTGTGGGGGTGGGCTTTGACTTAAACTTCATTCTGAAATTATGATCGTTTGGGAGATTTAATGAAAAGTCTGATATGTTTACTATGTGAGTAGGCTAGAAACAAACTCTAAGTTCAGCCACTGAATTCCACGTTGTGGACAACAGCTGAAACCTGTTTCACTTTGTTTTTTGGCTTCTACTTTGTAGTCTATAGCTGTATTTCCCATTGAGGTTGCCAAGCCACCTTTTCTGTTGCTGTGAAGAAAAACAACTTAAGGGAGAAAGGGTTTTCTTTGCCCAACAATTTAAGAGTATTGTCCATCATGGTCAGTAAGTCTCTGAGACAGATGCTTGAGGTGTCTGGTCATACTCCATCTACAGTCAGAGCAATGGATGCTCTCTCTTCAGCTATCTGCTTCGTATTTTATGCAAACTAGGACATAAACCCAGAGAATGGTGCTGCACTCTTTAGGGTGGGTCTTCCTCTAACCTAATCTCAATTAACCTAACTGATGATTTCTCACAGGCACATCCAGAGGCTAACCCAAACTAAATCATCTCTTTCAAGTGCACCTGGAGGCTAGTCTCCTAGGCGAGTCCACATCCTGTGCAGTTGACACTGAGTACTAACCATGAAATGACCATCTTGGATTCTTGGGCTCTTACCTGCACATTCAAAGGAACTTGATACTCAAAGTTTGAGTATCTGCTATTGTTCACTTCTTTCTGAAATTTCAGGTACCCTGAAAGTATCAACATCCATGCTTTGATTTATTCAGCCAATAAAACTCCAGTTTTCTGCTGAAGTGCTGCTGGGGAAAGAAAGTGCTGCTGCTGCCTTATGGCCTGTGGCTCTCATAGTACAACTCACTCTTATTCTTTTCTATCTTTTGCTTGTTTTCAGTCACGTACGTCTTTAAGCAGAATTAAAAAACTGCCAGTTTTCATAACTTCTGTCTATAAGAGAGTTTGATACAAACTACTCTGCCTTCATTTAAAACACTTTGGTTTTTTTTTTTTTTTTTAAATTTTGGCATTGCATTTGTTCGGTTTTCTGTGAGAAATGCTTGTAAATTCCCCTTCCAGCTGTTTTCATGGTTGAATCTGAGCTTGTGGTTTAACCACTCTGTGGATGACTTCAGTTCCACTGAGGGCCAGAGTCTAAATCTATTCACTGTAGTTCTCTCCTTTGTTTACCAAGCAGAGCTCATGTTATTCTTTCATGTGTGACTTTACAAATAGATTAGAATAAATCATAATGGACTATAGGCTCATCTCAGTCAAAGGTGTACACTGCAGTTGAGGAATAGGTTAAGTATATTCCCCCAATTTTTCATGTGTTGGAAACTCCATTCTCAGTGTGACAATGTTGGGAGGTAGATCTTTAAGAGTTACAGCCTAGTGAGAGGTGGATAGTTAATTGTAGGTGCTGTCCTTGGAAGGGGTTTTGAGAGCCCCAAATTTCTGTTTAGCTTTCTGCTTTGTGACATAGTCACTTTGGACTACATGCAACTTACCACCAACCATAGTGGTAGAGGTTGTATTATACTTTTAAGACTTCCAGCCTCCAAAACTGTGTGCTAAACAACTGCCTTTAAAAAGAATAGGATCAGTCTGTTTCAGCTATTTTGTTACAATCATTAACAACTGATACCCATGCTCTTAATTTATACAATTTTTAGTCTAATTTCTTTAATCCACTGTTCTCAAATCTGTAAATTGAGGAGATGGTTTGGCTTTAATCACAACAAATAACACTTCACAAACATATTTTTCCACTAAAAAAATTCCTGGGCACCCCATCATTTATGAAAAAAATAGAGATGATATGAGTAACATTTAATACATTACCTGGACTTTGTTCATCTCCAGTTTATTCTTTTCATTGGCACTCTGGTCTTGTTTGCTTGCTCCCTTCTTCTGAGGGCCTTTCCCAAAGAAAATGTAATTTACAAAAGCATATTCCAGCAGAGCCAGGAACACAAACACAAAACAGCCCATCAGGTAGATATCAATCGCTTTGACGTAGGGAATCTTTGGCAGAGTCTCCCTGAGGTGAGTGCTGATGGTTGTCATTGTCAGCACCGTGGTAATTCCTGCGAACAGAAATCCGAAGCTTAGCTGAAGGCACCTCTGTGAAGTCCTGTTTTCCAAGGCCCAGAAGACAAATGCCATCCCTTAATGTCCTGCGACAATGGAAGTAGCATGCTATGCCACTCGACCAGAGTGCGTGCATCTCTAAAGACAAAATAGCAGGCTTTCTCTAGATTCTGTTACTAAGACATGACATAGAGTGCACAAATAATGGAGGGCTAATGACATTTAAAAAAATAAGCACACACATATAACAAAAGAAGCTGTGAAAAGCAGAACAAATTCCGCTGTCAAAAATAAGGTGGAGGTGAGAACCAACTTAAGAAGTTATTGTCTGACCTTCATGTATGAATTGAGTCTGTAACAAATTCATTTCCTAATGTCAGGAAAAGGTTTATTAAAAATCAGCCTTTAGATTTGATAAAAAAAAGTTAATGCCTACAAGCACAGTGTAGGTTATGTTTTATCTGCTTTGTTCAATCTAAACAGTGTTAACAGTATATAGCTTGTTTGACAGCATACGGAGTATATTGTGTTGATAATGATAATGATGGGATAATGATTGGGAAAAATAAGAAATATAAAAAGAAGCTAAATTTTGTAGAGACAGTTTGTACTGCAACTCCTAATACCAGGACTCCACATTTGTACAGTGTATCACAATAGCCCACTGAATATGATGGGGAAACTAACTATATTGTTCTTATTTTATAGGTGAATAAAGATGAATTCCGAAGCTGAGTATGGTGGTGGATAGTCTGTGCAACAGGAGACCCTGTCTCAAAAAACCAAAACCAACCAACCAAATAAAACTCTCAGGTTAATTATCTTCATGTAGCTCACCCAGCTACAGGATAAAGAGGCAAGATTCTCAACAACAGCATTTAAAATAAAGCAAGAGATTTGATGGTAATATCTGGAATAAGATGAGAGTTATTAAACAAAGACAGGCATTGTGTAAAAAATGAGAGGCCAACGGTGTGGAGGGAATGAAAGAGAACAAGGCAAAGGGAGGGAAAAGGGGCTTCCAGCATCTCAAGGATAACTCTGGATGGTAGACTCCCTGGTATGACTCATCAGGAGTACCATTGGAAGGGAAGGTACATTTTTTTTTTCAGTTCCATCCATTTATCTGCAATTTTCATGATTTAATTTTTCTTTATAGCTGAATTAAATTTCATTGTATGTATAGTCAGATTTTCTTAACAACAACAACAACAACAACAACAACAACAACAATCAATATAAAGGGAGAAGGGAGATAGGTTGGAAGTTCCTGGAGAGAGTTAGAAAGCAGTGGTGTGATATGATCAAAATACATTGCACACAAGTGTGTGATTTTTCAAAGAATAAGTAAAAATATTATTTAAAAAAGCAAAATGGGCCAGGCAGTGGTGGCTCACGCCTTTAATCCCAGCACTCGGGAGGCAGAGCCAGGCAGATCTCTGTGAGTTCGAGGCTAGCCTGGGCTACAGAGTGAGTTCCAGGAAAGGCACCAAAGCTACACAGAGAGACCCTGTCTCAAAAAAACAAAACAAAACAAAACAAAACAAACAAAAGTAAAATGGTTCAGATCAGTGATTAACACAAATGTGTTGGATTGATGAGAACTTTATTATAAGTGATTTTACTTGTTTCTTTCAATAAAAGTTTAAACTTCATCTAATACAGTTCTAGCTAATGTGATTGACAGGAATATTCTATTTACATAGTCACTAAATTTATGTTTTTATTGTTTTAAATCAGAAAATAGCAAATAAATGTTTTTAAAACTATGTTAAAATGTCTTAGTTTAATATTTTAAAGATCAAAACATCATTATATACTAACATCTTTCATATATATATATATATATATATATATATATATATATATTTGTCTTTATAAAATTATATGCCTTTGTGACAATCTGTGCCTGTGAGTGCAAGCACCCAAGAAGTCCAAAAGAGGGCATCAGATCCCCTAGTGCTGGAGCTACAGCTAGTTGTGAGCCTCAAAATGGTGCTGGGAGCAGTACAAGCTCTTAACTACGGTGCTACTTTTCCAGCTCCTCTAATATCTTTAATGAAAATGTCATTGCTTTGAGGATAGGAATGTATAGAGAACCAGAGCACACAAACTTTTGAGTATTTTTTTTTCTGATGTAGATTGGATATCATCCAGGGTTTTCTTTAACCCTAGCATATGGTTGATAAGGTTGCATTCTTATTAACCCAGTATGTTGAAGATGCATATGTAATATGAAAAACTATTTGTCTGTTTTCCTTCTACTTAGAATATCCTAAGGTTGATATGAGGCTGCAAATACTTGACTTTGCAAGTCTTATGAACTCAGCCAGTGGAAGAGATATGCCAATTAGTCTATATGTGAAGGGATATACTAGTCAATTAATCCAACTTAGTAATTGAGAGAAGAGATGTAATGTTATCTTAGCTAGAAGTGATGCTTCCCCATTTCCCCTGTTTCTCTCTGAAACTGGAGTGATATCTAAAATATGTCTGGATATTAAATAATGAAGTAGACATGTACATGGCTACTTGAGATCGTGAGATCTCACATGAGATCATGAAACAGGAAACCCTTTTTTTATTCTGACTTGATCACAGATCATTAACACAGCTGATGAATTGTTTGTGCCTCATTGAATATAATGAGCTACATTAAAGGAGAGACTCAGTTTCATATGTTTTAACTTTAGTTAATGAAAGGATACTATTTTCTGACAATTGGTGTAGCTTGCTAACAATCAAAAGGCTTAGCTTTTCCTATGTTTAGCTTAAAACAATGAGTTACAAGTGTTTCCACAGTCAAAAGCAGGGAACAAAAAAGAGGTTATCACACATTTGGTAAAAAATACAGTGTCATGAGATTCTAACATGTAATCCACAAGCACTCATACAATGGGAAACATATCCCCAAAATTTTGTCAAATCCTAAAAGATGTTGCACTCATTATAAACACTCTTATACTTCATCTTGGATATTTGATTTTTTAAGCATCCTATTGCAGTCTTGTTCTTTTACTTGCTACATGAAGATTTTGCTTTTGATCCCTAGTATTGCCTCTTTGTTTGAAGGTCTGACCTACTAACTATGGAAAAGTGGGAATGCATTACCTAGTGCGACTCTGGCTGCAGATGCATCATAGTTGATCCAAAATGACACCCAGGATAGAATTGTAATCAGTGTGGAAGGCATGTAGGTCTGCAAAATGAAGTATCCGATGTTTCTTTTTAGACGAAAACTTAGTGATAGTCGTGGATATGCCCCTGGGTTTAAAAAAGAAAGGAAGGGAGGGAGGGAGATGAGGGGAAGGGAGGGAGAGGGAGGGAGGGAGGGAGGGAAGGAGGGAAGGAAGGAAGGAAGGAAGGAAGGAAGGAAGGAAGGAAGGAAGGAAGGAAGGAAGGAAGGAAGGAAGAAAGATCATAATTTGATTAGAATCACCATCTCCCTTTCATACACCCATGGACAATTAGGGAAGAAACATCTTCACCTGTTGTAAACTCCACCTTCTTGGACACCATCTTGTAGTCAACAATTGAAAACTGAGGAAGCTCGATTTTATTGACCCCGGTTACTGCTCCCTCTCCTCCATTCCAGTAAAACTCGATGTCGTCGGTGGTGTAGCCATCTGAAGTGAAGGAGCACAGCCTAATCACACAGGGCACAGTGGATCTAGTGATGCTTTTTGAAGACAGTCTTCCAGTCAGAGGGAAGACTCATACATAACACGCTAGGGCAAGGAGTATCATCTTGAATTTGAATGGCAGATAGATCCTACTTCAGCTGCTATTTCTGACGGGTTGGGAGTGGCTACACTGAGGAAAGAGATGCATCTGGCTTTAGTGAGCATCATCTCCCTGAAACTTTATTACCTTGTATCACCGCTACAATTTTGTTTTTAGTGTATCTATGGATGGGTGCTCTTTTATTAAAGCAAGGGGTGGCTGCGTTTCAGGGACACTGGAAATGGATTATGTATTATCTAAGAACAAAAACCGAATCAAATGATAAACTCTCAGTTATTAAAAGGAGAGCCTAAGGGATAATGGAAAAATAGTGAAAGATCAAATCTTCAATAATTGATCAAGGTATTTAAAAATATACACACATTTCATTTAGAGAAGTAACCAAGCTTATATCCTTCCATTATAGCTACTACTATTATAGGTAACATACAGGTAAAAATCTTAGGAATTATATACATTCTTGATTATACTAGGTATTTAATTGATTTCTTTGGATCTCTGAGGGTCAACTTTAATGTCAAAGAACCAGAGAAAATTAAAACAGTTGAAAGTGTTCCCCTGGCTTTGGCATGGAAGGTCCTATGTTCATGGCCTCTTCTCTTCCTCTGGTCTGTTTCCATTTGCCACTGGCCTGGCTGAGTCATGATGGTGTATAAGAATAAATTGTATAACACGAATAATGCATGGATATGTTTTTAAAAGCCTAAAAATAATTTGACTTATTTAAAATCCATTTTCACCAGTTAAACACATAGTCGATTTTTCCATTTTCTTTTTATATTCACCTCAAATAAAAAAAAAAGCATCACTTTTTAATTAGAGTTACTGACACATGTTTCAAAGATAACCCCATGAGCTCTTTGTAGTATGCATAATACTGGCCTACTTTTGATTAAAGCAGTAACATCTTTCCAAGATTTTTTTTAAGTTTAATATTTGGAAGCTGAATTAAATGTCAAAGAATTGCACCAACTTACCACTTCAAGATTGAAATAAATTTATTATTCTTATCATGCCCTTTTTGTGTATGTATGTATAAGAAAAAAGTGTTTCAATTTTACTTCTTAAAATAATTAAAATTCCTCTTCAAAAAACTTTTTAAAGTCCTTATTCCTGAATTTATTGAACAATACCTGTTTTATACTTGATACTTTATAAAATTACCATTGATTGCAACATATTACAATATATTTAATTTCTCATAAAACCATCATCCATTAGACTAAAGAACTTGCTCTCTTTCCAAAAGAGTAATATCCATACAAAATAATCCATCAATAATGAATGACCCAAATATAGAGATGGAAATAGAAGATATTTACTGTTATATATAAACATTGCTTCTGAGAGGCTGCATTATCTTCTTTAACACAATCTACCTTGAACTAATTGGTGCATTGGAGATTTATGTCAAATTTGGATATGAATGTGTGATATTGATGCTTAACATTGTCTTGAGTATCTCATAAGAATCCATGAACAGCTCTACAGAAGATACATAAATAGATAGTTGGGTGATGGATTGATGAATAGATGGGTATATAAATAGCTGAGTGATGGGTGAATGGAGATACAGACAGATGTGTGATGGATGGATAGATAGAAAGATGGGTTATGGATGAATGGAGAAATAGATACGTGATGGATGGTTTGATAAGTAGATCGATGGGTGATGGATGAATGGATGACAGGTGATGGATAGATAGATAGATTGCTGATGGGTATATGGGTAGATATATGGGTGATGGAGAGATAGATATGTGATGGATGGATATGGATAGATATATAAGTGATAGATGGATAGATGAATAGATAGGTGGTGGATGGGTAGACATACATACATACAGATACATAGAAAGATTGACAGATAAACAAATAGATGCATAATCTCCACATGCAGGAATGAGAAGCTTCTGGCTTGCTCTAGGCTTGCTAAATTAACAAGGTGATAGATTCCAACCTCTAGCTACTGCTTCAGTTGTCAGAATCTAGGGGAAAAATGTAAGTATAAGTTCAAGTTGTGAGGCTCACAGATAGTTTGTAGTTTGAGTTAAGAGAGGAGAAGGGAGTGGATGAGCCAAACTGGCAGCCCTGTTAGCTCCTACTTTTGGGCAGCAGCATAACATTAAATAAAACTTGAATGTGACAATCAGCCAAAGCAGATTTTAATATTCACGTTAGTTCTCTCTTATGTAAAGTTCCCTTTCCCACAGTCTAGGTGGCTCAGTTAACTGTCATCTGGAAATATTAAATGGAAAATTCTAAACATAAATATATCACACATCATTTTTAGTTGTGCTATGAAATCCTATGTTCTCCTGCTCTAGCCCATCCACGATGCAAGAGACCTCTTTGTCCAGCACATCCTTGCGGAGCTGTTTATCGTTCCCACCCATCTGCCACATGGTAGTCATGTCAGTTATCCAATCAGCTGTCTCAGTATTGCAGTGCTCACATTCCAGTAACCCTTCTTGATAGTGAGACTATATTTAAACAAGTCTGATTAAAGTTTGTTATAGCTGTCATTATGTATGTTCCATTTATAATTGTTTCTGTTTTATTGTGGTGATTATTTGTTTTTCCTTGCATAATTTATGTCCTAGATCTGTATTAAAAGAAAAACATAGTCTACATGGGATTGGCATATGCAGTGCTTTGGGCATCTGTCTGCTGGATGTCTAGAAACATACTCCCTGTGGATGCGAGGGATTACAGTATTCAACAACTTAGGCAGGCAGGCAGTGGTCTGGGTCTTTATTTCCAAGCTCATTTCACTTTGTTTAACTAAAACTCATTACTCACAGTGCTCTAGGCACCGAGATAATTACAGATGATTTGGGAGAAAAAGAAAATGCTCACTCCCATTTATATAGATTCTGGAGTTCTCATGGGAGCAATAATGGCAGCTGGATCCAAGCAAAGAATAGAGGCTAGAAGCACACTATTATTCACAGGTTACCCAAGAACATTCTGCCGCAGAGAGAGAACATCAATTTACTCACACCTAAACAATCTGTTTACCAAAGGTTTGCCTTTATGAACCAGTGACTTCACACAGCGTTTCAGTCTGAGAACTCAGATACCAAGGATGTTGTTTCCTAGCAACAGCTACAGAGAAGCACTCAGAATTTCCTCTTGGCCCCTGGGGACTTCTTAGTGATGCAGAAAATACAGATAAAATTAAGTTGATGTCAACAGATGAAGGTTCACAGAGCTAGTGCGGTGTAAAAGTGTCTGAATATTAGTATTCTTTCTGTTGGAAATACATTATTTTGGATGAATTTTCTACTCTGCAAATAAAAGTTACTCTCCACTGTGCTTAGTGGAGCTATATGGGTAGTCAGATATTGTTCTTAGATGCGTTGGGATGATAAACTTCCATCTATGAGCAGAAGATGTAAACATATTTCTTTCTGTGGAGAGGCCTTCGCAACATAGCAAGTTTCATGGTCTTAATGGACTTAGGTCAGTCCTTACAATACATTCTTTTTGTGTATGGTTAGCTCAACGCTAGGCAACGATTAATGTGGAAATTCCACAGAGTCTATCTGATAATCAAAGGGATTTATTCTGGGTTAACTCACAACAAGCATAAAGAAGTTGGTCGCAGGAGGGGTGGGGCCCCGATCCAATGTAGTTCTCTGGAGAACTCTGCCTTGATCCGCAGCACCAGCATCCAGCATCCAAGACCATGAGGTTGCCAAGAGAGCATTAGCACATCTCATCCCAGGTCTTAAGGGGTCCCTGTCTCGGCCACACCCCCTGGGGGGGCAAGTACCTAGCAGTTAATTGATGTCTACTTGGGGTGGTGCTTCAGGGGTAAAGCCCAGACAACCACCCCTACAAATGATACGGATTGCTACACTGTGAATGTGCCCAGTAAGCTTTATGTGTTGGAAACTTGATTTATCAAAGCAGCAGTCTTGAGAGGTAGGAACTTTTGAAGATGTTTTAACTCAAGAGCAATAAGCAGTAATACTCTTTGCAATGAACACTTGCACATAAAGATATATGGACAAAAGGGTTTACTGCGTGACTCACTGTGTCACACTACAGCTTCCGTGATGAGATTTTTTTCCTTTTTCTTTCTTTTCTTTTTCCTTTTCCTTTTCTCGTTTCTCTTAAATTTTATCTGGGGGTGGGGGCTGCAAAGGCAGAGGGCAGATACACAGGGATGGGAAACGAACGGGATCAAGATGCATAATGTGAAAGACACAAAGAATAAATAAAATGAAAGTTAAAAAAGAAAAAAAACATTTACTCCATCACACTCTGTGATAGACACACAAAACAGGCATAGGTCTAAATAAACAATTCCATTGTTGTGCCTTGGGCCAGACTAACTTGAAATGAGTCTATGATATGAGTTGGTCTGGAGAAACCTAGGATTCCTGTTTAACAGTTGAATGAGGAATCATTTCTTTCTCTTTTGGATGTTACATATAAGAAACCCTGAATAAAGCAGCCAGTCCAGATATGAGAAGTTTCCTGACCACATCAGTCATTATTTGCACCTAGTGAGAATGTCCTATATCTCACTCATAATCAATATTTCAACCATTGGTGTTCTTTACTACTTATTAGTCTGGATCCATGAGATTCTCAGGGGCACTACTGGCCATGAGAGTCAGAGTTTAGAAGTGTTCTCACAGTTAAATACAAATGTTTGTTTGTTTGTTTTTCAAGACAGGTTTCTCTCTGTAGCGGAGGTTGTCCTGGAATTCACTCTGTAGTCCAGGCTGGCCTTGAACTGAGAGATCCATCTGCCTCTGCCTCCAGAGTGCTGGGATCAAAGGCGTGCGCCACCACACCTGACAGTTAAATACAAATGTCTGCAACAATCTACTTTAATGTTTGACTCCTATCTAATAGTTTGAGTATT